GTTTGGTCTGAGATGCCTGCTAAATACCCAAATGTGTATCTCAGCGAGGCAGTATGATCACTGGGTGTGGAATTCAGGAGAGAAGTCAGCTAGAGATGTACATTTGAGAGCTGTCCGTGTATAGGTAACAGTTCAAGCCATGGGACTGGCTGACACTGCCTAGGGAGGGAGTGCAGCTAGACCAGGGAAGGCATCTGAGGTAAGGACTTAGCTCTAGGGTGTTCGCTGTGCAGATGTTGCTAAGAGGAGGAGGAGTCCAGAAATAGCCCAGAGGAAGAGTGTCCAGTGTGTAGGAGTACCACCAAGGGAGATCTATGTCCTGAAAACCCAGAAGAAAGTGTTTCTAGAAGAGTTTTACACTACAAATACAGTCCATTAGCAAATCCTTAGCTCTATCTTCAACATATATCCAGATTGGGACCTCTTACCAGCCACCTCCACCACATCCCAACTCTCCAGTGTGGGATAAGTCACCTTCAATTCCCTCTAAACAACTGCAGAAGTTTTTAAACTGCTTTCTCTGCTTCTATCCTGGCTTCTCTACTAGCCTATTCTCCAGCCAGCAGACAGAGTAATTCTTTTAAAACATAAGCCACGTCACTGTCTAACTTTTAAATGTTGTTGAAAGGTTCATAAACAGAGGACTGAGGGTTGATCATATGAGTTGGCAATGGAGAGTCATTCATTAGTAACCAGTCGCAGAGAGTTTAGATGGATGAGTAGGGATAAAAGCTTTCTTCTATTAGAATCAATATAAAAAGGATGAGTCAATCAGAAACTAAAGAGGAGATATTACAAGTGATACCACAGAAATATAAAGGATCATGAGAGACCTCTATGACCATTTATATGCCAATAAATTGGAAAACTAGAAGAAATGGATGAATCCCTAGACAAAACTAAATCATGAAAACAGGAAATCTATACAGAGCTGTAATGAATAAGGAGATCAAATCAGTAAGAAAAAGTATTCCACCAACAAAAAGCCCAGGATCTGATGGCTTCACTGATGAATTTTATCAACCATTTAATGAAGAACTAATACCACTCCTTATCATACTTTTCCTAAAAATGAAGGGGAAGGACAAGTTACAAACTCATTGCATAAGACCATCATTATCCTGATACCTTAGCCAGACAAGGACACCACAAGAGAAGAAAATTAGAGGCCAACACCCCGATGAACACAGATGCAAGAATTCTCGACAATCTAGCAAAAAGAATTCAACAGCAAATCAAAAGGATCATTTATCACAATCAATTGGGATTTATTCCTGGGAAGCAAGGATAGTTTAACATACAGAAGTCAATAAATGTGATACTCCACATTAGCAGAATGAAGGACAAAAATCATACGGATCATCTCAATACATGCAGAGAAGACATCTGACAATGTGCAACATCCTCTCATGATAATAAAGAAAAACCTCTCAACAACTTAAGTACAGAGAGATATACTTCAACACAAAGGCCATCTATGACAAGCCCATAGCTAGCACACTCAATGTTGAAAAGCTAAAAGTTTTCCTCTAACATCAGTAACAAGACAAGGATACCCACTGAAGTTCCATTCAACATAGTACTGTTACAGAAGTCCTAACCAGAGCAATTAGGTAAGAGCAAAAATAAAAGGTGCCCAAACTATAAAGAAAGAAGCTAAA